GATGGAGATGCTTATAAAAAGACTGGAGAGGAAGGAAACGTAACAGTGTCTCTTCTGCCAGCATCCCTCCATCGGATCCCTACTCCTGTGCACCCCGCTTTCTACGGTCGCTTTACCCCATTTTGTTTCCCACAGAAAATAAATCCTTTCTTTGAGCTGTACTTTGAGACTCCTCACCATTGCACTTCCTGTTCCCTGAATGTAATGTTAAGGGCAAAATCCCAAACTTAACTGTGTTCTTCTAACAGGCCGGAACCCGTCGATTTAGTTGAATCAGATGTGGCGCATGGCAAAGGCAGCCGTTACGCCAGGCCAGAAACTGAGCCTGAAACTCACCCAAGAAAAAGGAGACACACCAAGAAGTCTCCAGGGAATCCACTGAAGAGTTCCACACCCAGCCACCAGGCGACAGGGAGGAGCCTTCCCAGCTGAGGCTCTGAAGCCTGGGCAGCCTCGGACCCCCCTTCCCTGCTGGCCAGAGCGGCAGGAGCAGCTGGTTTTAAAACAAGGGGTGTGCTTCCTTGTTCTGAAGCTCCGAAGAAACTTCTGAGTCTTCTACAACTGCCTTCGAGAGATTTCCACCCCGAGGTTTGACAGGCTGTGCAAGCTCTTCACGTGTATCAAGTAAAATGACTCCTAACAGCTTCATCTAGGGGTATGCTCCCCCTTGGCACTAAGCACTGATTACCCAGTCCTTAGCTTCTTCCAGAGATTAAAAGCAACACACGAGATCAATTATCCCTAAACCAGTATAATTAAAAGTCATTGATTTTTCCAAGGAATAGTAGATTGGATTCAAGGATTTACTCCAGCTCCCTCATGAAAGGCCACGGAGGATATTTTGTTTTGCTTTATTTGTGCATTTTCTATTAAATTGCTAAGTCAGTAACACACAAGAAAACATCATTTTTGGGGAAGATTAGACAGAGCTGGAAACTGAACTGATAGAGAAGGGCCAAGACCAATCTAGATCATTCCAGAATCCCCCAAAGGTACTGGCAGCTTTCCTAGAAGCCATCGGCAATGGGAGGGTGGGCTAAAAACATGCCGAGTACGTTTAATTTCCTTGAAGAAGCTGTTAGATGCCCCCAGGCCACAATTATAAGCCATAAAGACTGTTTCGGCAAAAATCTGAAGATGTTGGTCAACACATAGTATAGGTCTAGCCAGGCACAGTGGCACACATCTATAATCTTAGCATTTAAGCGGCTAGAGGCAGGAGGACAGCAAGTTGGAGGCCGGCCTGGGCTATACGGTGAGACCCTTTCTTTAAAACAGACAAACACAGTCTCAAGGTATGGAATGGGCATGGGTTGTACTCAACTGGGCATTCAGGAACACATGCATGCTGGGACATTCTCTCTATCCCTTTGGTCTCCACAAAGATGGCAGCCATGGCCATGCTGTACAGGTAGGATAATCTGAACAGCCAAAGAGGAGCTTCTGACAGAACCTACACAGGTGGTGCCTGGAGTGAAGGACTTCTGTAAGTAGCTCAAGGGAAGCTACTACCTACAAGCCTGTGCATCTATCTGCGCCGGGCTCAACTTAGCCTTGTTTTCCCAATCTAGACCAGAGACATAACGGAAGCACCACCTCACACTAAGGGAAACGCAATACAGAAGGCTGCATCCAAGAAACAAAAGTGAACTGGGAGTGTGGGGCTCCATCAGCAGATACAGATGGCCTGGAAATCAGCACACAAAATGCCCAGTTTATCCAATAAAGGAGAGAAGTGGGAACCTTCATAGATTCAAGAGACTTAAGGCATATCAGCCAACTGCAGTCTACAGACCTTACTTGAATTAACCCAATGGATTGTTTGTTTGTGGCGGTGTGCACCTGTAATCCCAGCACCGGAGAGGAAGAAGCAGGCAGATCTCTGTGAGTTCTATGAGTAGCCAGGTGTCTACATAGTAAGACACCATCGCAATAAAATAAAAAACTACAAGTCAGAGCAGTTTTAATATCAGCTGGGTATTGGCTATACCCGTAGGCTTTAGCTATGACACTGGAGCGCTTACATTTTAGAGCTATACATAGACATGTCTGTAAATGAAGTGGGGTGATGTGGCTTGGTTTTCAAGGAAAACCAAGTGTAGCTGTGGAAGGAAGGGGCTATGAAAATCTTTTTGTTCCACTCCGTGTTTGAAATTTTCCATACTGGAGAAGAGTCACTGTTGGAGCCTTCAGAGAACATGCTGAAGCCAAGTGATACTGGAAGGGAACAGTTTAGAGAAGCTTCTCCAAAAGAAAGACTAGCAGATGTTAAACAACCTATGAAGAGTTGGAGGAAAAATGGCAGCCTAGAAAATACAGTGAAATATCATTAAAGGTGGGGAGGGGGGAAAAAGTTTCAAAAGCTGGACCAAAAAAAAAAAAAAAAAAGATACATCAATACACAATGATGGAAGGAAATGTTCCCAAATAGAGGGCTATGCATTGAATTTCTAAATGAAGATGACCAGGGGTGGTGGTGAACACCTTTAAGACCAGCACTAGGGAGGCAGAAACAAGCGGACCTCTGTGAGTTTGAGGCCAGCTTGGTCTCCATAATGAGTTCCAGGATAGCTGGGGCTATGGAGAGAGACCCTGCCCCAAAAATAAAACCAAGAAAACAAAACAAAATAAAATGAAAAAGATGCCCCAAGGGCCTGATGCCACTGAAGAAATCAAGGCACTACTGTGGACCTGCAGGACAGTGAGGGCAAAGACATGTAGTACGTGCAGAATGTGCAGAAAAGATCTCAGGTGAGAGGCACATGGCATCTTGCCACAGGAAGGCCAGACAGCAACTCCTTCAAATCCTGAAGGCAAACTGTCACTAATACAGAGGGCTATCTATGGCTACCCAAACTGTTAATCAAAGACACAGGTACAGCAGAAGAAGTGTTTACGCAGGTGTGTATCTCAGTACCAAGGGTGAGAACACAAATCCAGGAAGAGCAGGTAATGGATCCAGGACTCTGTGAAGATTTGGCAGGGAAGAGAATTCCCAGAACACAGACAGACAGACAGACAGACAGAGAGAGAGAGAGAGCCTGAGCCCCTAAGCCCATCATCTGTGAAACAGGGAACTGGCAACAGTACCTTCCCCTGTGGTTGACACACAGATTCTATTAAGACCCGATGCAAAGTCAGAGCTACAGGTGCGGTTGTGTCGGCAGGGAGGCGATGCTTAACACCAAGTACACCCATAACTTGATGTTACAGTAGATTTTTCAAAACAAAACATAGGCATAAAATGGCTCGTTGAGTACAGGCATTTGCTTCACAAAGGCCTGATGACTTGTATCAGACCACCAGACCCCGTAAAGGTGGAGAACCAACTCAGACTTGTCCTCTGATGGCCACACTCATGCACAAGCCCCCACACAATAATGACAATAATTTTGAAAGAGAAAAAGCAAAGGAAATTGATGAAAATACACATTTCTGAATAAATAGATGGCTAGCACTGGGATGACTGAAAAGTCACAGAGCCATGGGGATTTAGAGATTGGCAGCCTTCCAAGACACTCCTAACAAAATTTCCTTGTCCTGAAAAGGGAGCTAAATCTCAGAGGGGCCCAGTTAGCTGCTTACGACAGCACTAGTGTAGAGAAGAGGGGACAGGTGGGGGTGGGGGAGCACGACAAACAGATGCTTCATTTGATGTACAACAAAAACCAATTGCAACTACCTAAGTGTGTCTGTGACATCTGCAGAGGTTCAAGAAGGCAAAAAAAAGAAATCAAGTATATTGTCCAATATCAACATTTTACTCTTAAACTTGGCACCTGGCTTGTGATATATATATATATATATATATATATATATATATATATATATATATATATCACATACACACATGAATTGTGTGTCTGTCTGTCTGTCTGTCTGAACATTATTTGGCCGGTTTGGTCACTGCTTCCAATAAAACAAAGGTCCCATTGAAAGGACCAGGAGAGCATGGAGCTGGCCAATGTGGTGACAGGAGGGTGTACCCTCTCAGACACCTGAGCATGAGTGTCAAGAGTCAGGACATGTGACGATTTTCCATGCAGTCCATTTCAATCAAGTTCCAACTGAAAATATTTGCCAAGCTCCACCTAACAGTCTGAGACAAACTTATGCAAACAGAAAATTGCTGGTTGTCACTGACTCTGAGGCAAGGTACACACCAACTGCTCGTCTCCAAAACAAACAAATCCTTGGTACTTGTGGGACAGTTACCACAACACAAATGCAATTACCTTCGAGCCCAGTCCATGCTCCAAAGAGCCCAAATACCAGAGTGATGAGAGGCTGGGTTAAACACGTTTTAATAGTGTGGCCATGAGGCTGAGATTTACAGTGACAAATAGAGTCCAGAAATAAACATGAAAAAAGCTAAAGCTAATCCTGAATGTTTCAGTCCTTACACATTTCTTCTTTCTTGGAGGCACTAAGTGTATTCCTGAAAGTATGCACTGGCTCCTTAGCCAAATTAATAAAGAAGCAAAAGCTGTTTAGGAACATTTCCATTTCATTTTTTCTGTGTGATAAAGGGAGTAAAATGACCACTCCTAGGTATGGTTGAGGAGGTTTTTATTATACATACGGGGGACAGTAGAGCCAGAGGCACGTGAAAAGAGTCCAGACTGAACCCGGCCATGAGGCGTGTGGGAGGGAACAAGAGAAAAGGGAAGAGAAAGATAGAAGACCACGAGAGACCAAGAGTGGCGCCTAGACAGAGAGACCCAAGAGAGTGGCGGAAAGAACTCACGGCTGAAGTGACAGGTGTACATGGCAATGAGAAGCTGGGGGAGGGGAAGGGAAGCCCCCTGGGCTGGGGAGGTTTGGGGTAGGGAGTGGCGTGAGAAGTGCTAGGTTGAGGTACTGTGGGAGCCCAGAGGCCAAGCATGATCTTTGGCGAGCTAACAGATGTCACGGTTTGCCACCCCTGGGTTTCTCTGGGACCTGACAGGAAGCATGCATAAAACATGTAAAACAGAATACACAGTCATGTCAATACTCACAGGAAAAGGAGGATTCCAGTGTTGGCCAGGGCAAAGGCGAGTCCCAAAATCCCACTGCCCATAATGGCGTTGCTCAGGTTAAAGACGGACATGCTCAGGGAGGTCGTTCCTGGAATCTGAACGGTAGAAACAGACAAGCTCACTAAGCACATGGTCGCAAGGCAGTCAGTTCTTCAAGCCAAAGCCTTCCCATGCTACCGAGAACCCAGACAGAAATGGAACTGGAGAACCTTCTTTGCAGTCTAATTGTTTTAATGGGTTGCATGAGAAAACACAGTAACATTTTCAGCACTGAGCTATGTGAAGTGCTGTCCCCATGCATCTGACTTTTATCCTGCGCTACACACAGAACCGCTGTCCCCCGTCACATGGCTAGAGCTGGTGCATACACCGGTGACACTTACATATTCATCACATTTCCTTTTCTCCAAATGACTGTTGGTGAGACTTCTTCTGCTTTCACGGTCAGAGATGAACTTGCTGAAAGACACACAACACACCTTTACCTTTACGCTAATGACTAAGGCTTTAGCAGCAATGCTACATGATTTCTTTCCTGAAAGACCCTGCACACACCAAACTGTCAGTTAGATGCCTACAACTGTCTTATTCAACACCTCCCCACTGTGTGTGTGTGTGTGTGCACGCATGCGTGCGCACGCATGAGCAAGTGGGTGCGCGCACGTGCTATGCACACGTTATCTACATTCTTGTTTTATCAAGTAAACTCTAAGCATCCCCAGGGCAGGTCCTTCGCCTAATCATTTCTGCATCTCTCACTCTACTATCTACAAAGGCAATAGTTGCTTAACTTGAACGAGATAAGACTGATGTAGGCTCTAAAAGAGCTGTTGTACATTTTGAATCATTTTCAAAGTAAACTAAAACACCACACACAATACATATTTACTTTTCATATAGATTTTTCACTAAGTAGAAAATTAGATAAAGCCGAGACCACTACGCACCTGGTATTAGAAAGAATACTGGAGGCAAGGTTCCTCCTGGTAGTCTCTCTACACACCAATCTCCCTCTCCCTTGCAAAAAAAGACAGCAGCTGTTTCACCATCAAACGCTGAGTCAGAAACAGCTCTGTATACGACACGAGGGGGGGGGCCGGCGGGGGGGGGGGGGAGGGGGCTGGGAAAGACCTCTAGGCTACCAGGGTCGAGACCAGGAGCAAGTGGACCATAGTGAAAATTCAGAGTTGGGATTTAAGGAAGTGTGAGGGACTCAGAATTTGAATGCAGACTCTGACTAGGTCCAAGGGCCTGGGCCTGTCGCCTTAGGATTGTCACCTGTAAAATGGGAGTAATGCTATCACAGTGGCCGTGGGAGGAAGGAAGGGAAGTAGATCCAGTAGCCAGCTCAGGGCAGGAGCAACAAAGGTCAGTGATCCTCTCCAAGGGGAGGGGCTTGCCCTGGAGTGGGTGAGATCCAGACAGGAGAAGAAACTCCCACCAGGTGAGCCCACACAGCTACCCAGAAGACTAACATAATGCATTCATGGTCACTATCAGAACCTTAAACTTGTCATCTGTAAAAGGTCAACATTAATCGAGAACTTCTGTCAAAGAAAAATCCACACAGACAGACCGATGCTTTTCTTGTCTGTGGTGCAGACATGCGTGGGTGCATCCCGTGTGCCTCGGCACATGTGTCACGGTGTGGATGCGGAGGTCAGAGGACGACATTGGGGAGTCAGTTCCTTCCATCTTTACATGGGCTCCAGGGATTAAATTGAGGTCGCCATGCTTGCACAAAAAATGCCTTCATCTGCCCCTCTTGTGTACAGTCTTAAAACATTTTAAGGATGGTTTTTGGCCCTTGACATAAGCTAAAGTCATCTCAATTAAGAAAATGCCTCCATAATAGCTGTGCTGTAGGCAAGCCTGTAGGGCATCTTCTTATTTGGTGACAGATGGGGGAAGGCCCAGCCCATTGTGGGTGGTGCTACCCCTGGGCTGGTGGCCCTGGATTCTATAAGAAAGCAGGCTGAGCAAGTCATGAGGAGCAAGCCAGTAAGCAGCTCTCCTCTGCATCAGCTTCTGTCTCCAGGTTCCTGCTCTTTGAGTTCCTGTCCTGACTTCCGTTGATGAACAGTGATGAGGAAGTGTAAGCCAAATCAACCCTTTCCTTCCCAACTTGCTTTTCCGTCATGTTGTTTCATCTCAGTAATAACAACCCTATCTACGACAAGCCTTCCAGAGAATTTCAACCATCTAGTCATCGTCAGAATGAATCACAGTAAATTTTAGTAAATCTAAAGCCACCTGAATCTAATCCAAAGAAACATCTTTAAATGGTGCTTAGAACTTTATACATTTTTTTGAATAATGCTACATTTCACAATAAAGTTTCTTTTCCATCTTTAATTCAAGGGACTTGGTTCTGCCTGCTGTCACCTCTTGAAGTTTATATTGTTGTGTTAGAATAAGCCAAAGGCTGTGGATGCACATATCACAAATTTACTCTTGGACCTTTGCTTGGTGGGAGCTGCAGTCCACAGACCCTGTTTTGCTCAAGGAAGAAAGAAAACGCTGGTCTCCCAAAACATGAGTGATCATGTTCCAACTGAGAAAAGACCACACCTGCTAACATAGGAGTGTGGGAATCACCAGAATGAAGATAAGGAGTCCCGAGAAGTCAAAAGCAGTATCCGGCAGAGTTAGGCAGAATAAACTCAGAAGCAGAAGTCAGAATTGCTTATTCTCAGCAGGGAGAACAATGGGACTTTGAGATAACTGACATAGCATCGCCCCTAATGCTTCACGTGGCCCTGTTTTTGTCCCCAGCATTTCAAATCTTTCTACAGAGGGAAGGCTTGCAGATCTGGCTGCAGAGAGGCAGGGAAAGCCAGCCTGATGGCACATGGGTGCTGGGCTTGTCCAAATAAAGACCCCTGCTTAAGCTACTCAATAGACTCAACCAGGCTAAATTTAATAACAAACATGGATCTGTGGTATCCTGGTCTAGCAAGTCTCCCATTTGCCTTTCTTATGAAGGATGCTTGTTTCCCAAAGAGAATTTGTTTTTGTTTTTTAAGAAACAGAGGGAAAGTCCAAGCACTTTTACCCCCCAAATAAAATCAAAGCACCAATAAGTTTGACGTTCGAGCAGACCTCAATTCCAGGCCTACGGCTGGACAAAGAAGAGAGGGGTGTGGGAGGGGCCTGACAGTAGGCACGGGTGGGTGCATGAGGGATTCAACAGGCTCACACACTTGTGCAAGTGGAGAGGATGACTACTGAGGCCTTATGCAGAACAAGGAGAATGATACTAACTTACAAATCATGGCCACTAAAATACATTAAAACAATTTTGGCCAGGCGGTGGTGGCACAAGCCTTTAATCCCTGCACTCAGGAGGCAGAGGCAGGCAGATCTCTGTGAGTTCGAGACCAGCCTGGTCTACAGAGAGAGTTCCAAAACAGCCTCCAAAACAAACCCTGTCTCTAAAAAACAAAAACAAACAAACAAAAAAACCAATCCTGTCTCTCCCGCCTCCTTGAGGCATGACAGTAGATTGCTCAAATAACTCTGCTGGTGTCATAGTCCTTTTCTATTGCTGTGATAAACACCATGACTAAAGAAACTTATAAAAGAAAGCAATGGGGGTCAAGGCTCCAAAGCGTTAGCGTCCATGACATCGTGGTGGGTATTGCAGCAGCAGGCAGGCAGACAGGCAGGGCACTGGAACAGTAGCTGAGTGCTCACATCCCAACCCACAGACATGAGTTGGGCTTTTGAAACCTCAAAGCCCGCCCCCAGTGACACACCTCCTCCAGCAAGGCCACGCCTCCTAATCCTTCCCAAACAGTCCCACAACTGAGGACCAAGCATTCAAACAGATGAGCCTATGGGGCCATCCTCATCCAAGCCACCAGAGTTGGCTTCTCCACTGGGCATCTTGAATGTTGAATTTGGTTTTGCTTCAGTGTTCCAATCACAGCTTTCCCCTATGGCTCTAGGGGATCCTTCCAAGTGCAGCTATGATTATGATCAAGACAAGAAAAAGCCAAATACAAGGTGACCGCAGGAATCTGCTCTGCTGACCCTGAGTGTCCCCTCCCCAAAGTTCCCTCCAGCCAATTCAAACCCCCAAGCGATCACGAGTTTTCTGACATTCTGACCTATTTACTACACTACCTGTAATGTACATGATGCCCTGAACTCATCTACAGCACCAGGAGATGCCCAATGTCACTTAGCTCCCAAAGTATGTACCTTCCCACACAGGAACTCGGAAGAACTTTCTACTAACTAAGCAAGCATCTTCTATTAGTAATTAGTAATTAGGAACTACCTTAGGCTGCAGGGAAATTTAGCTATGTAAGATGGAAGTATCTAATTATATGTATGTATTTGTTTATTGTGTGTGTGTGTGTGTGTGTGTGTCCATACACACGTGCATGCATCTATGTGCGAACACATGTGCACCTACATGTGAAGATCAGAGGACAACTTTTGGGAGTTGGTTCTCTCTTTCCACCAGAATTAGGACTCGGGTTGCTAGGCTTGGCCCTGCAGACTCTATTTACGATTCATAACAGGTGCAAAATTAGTTATGAAGATAATTTTATGGTTGGGGGAGGGTTGCAGCGCTAGGAAGGTTGAGGACCACTACTTTAGAATGAATTATTTAAAGAAAGTCTCTTTATTCTCTTTCTTGCTTTTTCTTCTCTTCAGTTTTTTTTTGTTTGTTTGTTTTGTTTTTGTTTTTCAAGACAGGGTATTGTTTTGGAGCCTGCCCTGGAACTTGCTCGGTAGACCAGATCACAGAGATCCACCTGCCTCTGCCTCCCAAGTGCTGGGATTAAAGGCATGCGCCACCAATGCCCGGCTCACTTCAGTTCTTAAATCTTTACTTTGTATTCCTGTAAACTTGAAGAGAGAAAAACCAATCTCTCTCTCTCTCTCTCTTTTTGTAATGGAAAATTCCATTCAAGCAACTAGGTCAGGCAGCTTTCAACACAAGTTTCATGTCACCCTTTTTAAAAGGCAACTGGCTGTTTAAAATCACTGGCCTCTGGCACTGAAATTGACATAAAACTTCATTTTATCAATTTAAAAAGTACTGTGGGAGAAGGTACCTGTAACAAGTGATTTTAAGATGCAAACTTATTATTAAAGAGTTTATGCTGGCTCAGTCTGTACCCATAAAGCAGAATTTGACAGACCATCAAGCATTCAACTGCTCTGAGAACGAAACAAAATGAAACAAAGCCTTACAGCAGATGATTTAGTGATAAAACCTTTAAAAAAAGGACTTGGGTGTCTCATATTCAGATACAATGTGACAAGAAACAATATAAAGCTATTATTTGACATTAAGAGTAAATGAAGAGACTAGCTAAGGAAGTGTTGTGCAACAGAAAGATAATCCTTGGACCAGAATCTCAACCAGCTGGGTCCCCACTAGATTATGGTCCTGGGTTTGGACTTACAACAGAAGAGATGAAAAAGAGAAGAGTGGTTGA